CGTGCATCATATTGCACAACATGATTGTTGAAGATGAACGACATACATATGGAGGTAATTTTGATTACTCTTATGATAATGTGGATAACAATCACTCAACAACTGAAACATTTAGCGGTCCTCATCCGAATCTTGCAACAAGACTACAAAGAAGAGCAAATATTCGTAAAAAACAAGTTCATCGTCAACTTCAAGGAGATCTAGTCAGTATATTTGGGAACGTTTTGGACATGAAGATGATGAAATTTAAGTTTGATTAATTTATGTGATGTTATTTATTTTTATTGTTTTTAATTATATGTAATGTATTTGAAATTAATTTTAATTATCATTTTAAATTATAAGTTTAATTTGAATTTTATTTATTTTATATAAATTTTAATTTAAATAATTAAAATTATTATTTTAAATGATATAGAATTTAATATGAATAAAATATTAATATATAAAGTAAAGTTGTGGGACCCATTATGAGTTCTTTAGAGTTGCACCATTGAAGTGAAAAATTAGTTGGGTTGTTTCAAGCTGACGTGGCTTAATGAGTCCCGCAAAGAACCCAAAATTGAGTTGCACCATTGGAGATGCTCTAAAGGATACGTAATCATTTATTCTCAATTTTTAGTAATATTTTTTTCATTTTGTCAAATTTTCTATTTTTTCTTCCTTTGTCATAAATGTCGTTGTTTTTTAGTTTGTGATAATGTTATATAGGTTGATTTTGGATAATACAAAATTAAAGGAATTTAGATTCAAATTCTATGACACAATAAGGTAAATTTTTTATTTTGTTTAAATTGGAGGATGAAATATGATGGTAATTATTTTGTTTAAATCGGAGGATGAAATATGATGGGAAGGAATAGAATAAAATGGAATTTGTTTTGTGTTGGATAAAATAGTCTCATATTATTACTTTTGAAATTTATATACAACATTTATATATAACGAAGTGTCTTTTTTAAAGAACAAAGTTGAGGATTCTTACCTATAAAGTCGAGACCTTTTAGCTTTGACTTTAGGGTCAATGTTTTGTGTGCCTAGAAATCGAGGATAAGAGTAGTTAATATTTAACACATTGGAACACAATGTATTCCATCAATTCATAAATAAATTGTTTTTGGAATATAATATATTTTGTATTTCATCGATAAATGGAAGACTTTATTGGAGAGAGGGAAACTCATAAATACAATTTGATCTCCTCGTTTTAGAAATAGGATAAGATGTGTTAATTTGACATAATTAGTTGATGCATAATCTTGAACAGGTGTTGTTGATCTATGTAGCATCGACATTTTGGAAAAAAGATGTGTATGTGTCGGACACCTGTACTGACAGTTGTGATTACGTTTAATTTATTCCTTTTTTTAAAATTATTATCGGTGTCGTTGTCTTAGTGTCAGAGTCGTGTTTGAGATGTTTGTGTTTCATAAGTCTTGATCTCTAATACAGTGACGTGGGGTGGATCTGTAAGGTTAGCATCTCAACGCCCAAGTCAATTTAAGATTCAAGATGAATGTAATGAATAGTAGAGATCAGAAATTATACCTTGCATTTCGTGTGACCTGATTTTTATACTTTGGATCATGTGGAATGGGTTTGGGTTGGTTTGGGCCTTAAATATTTTGGATTTTTGACTGACATAGAATAGTTGTTCCCAAGACTTTACCAGACACTAAGAAAGCCTAGGAATCTTTCACCGATTGTGGTCGGCCTTCAAGGATGTCGTCTGATTTAAATTAGAATTGAATCGCTTGTATTAAATGCTCCAAGTGACTCCAAGTGTATTGAATGTTTTCTTATCACATAAATGTTTCACTCTTTGGTCCTAACACGTCACCCTAGGTATGTAGGCCATAAAATGATTCTCTACTTAGGATACTTGAGTATTTTAAGTTTTTTTCTCTATTTGATGAGACGGTGTACTTACAATCATTAGATATATACCTTGTCTTTTCAATTGACTTCTTTATAAAAAAGTAGATATTTTTTCAAGTTTTTTTTTTCGTTTTCCCTGTTGTTTTTCGCTTAGATCTTCTCTTTGGACCTTAGCTAACAACTCTCTCGCTCCAGTTTTTAGATCTTATGTCGCTCTTCCATTTTTCTTTATAGGTACATTGTTCCCCATCGTCTGTGGGAAGGGGTTGCTTCATTCAATCTCTCGAGTGCAAAATTTTTTTAACAAAAGTTTGTTGTTGATAATCTATATGATTTGTTTTGTAATGAAAATATAAGATTTGATCATTTGGAGGACTTGATGGCGGTTATAAACGTAGAAGATTAGTCTTGGGTGGACCCAAAATATCTGGAAATGCTTTTCTCCTATACTTAGGAAGTTAAAGTGGTGATATCCTTCTTTCGAGTGGGATCTCCTTCCGACTGAGTAATCTCAACAATTTCTGTTGACAAATGGGTGTGTAGCAAGTTCGAAGGGTGGTATATTCCTTTTTAGACAGCATCTTCTAAAAATTGGGTGTCTGACGTTTGCTGACCGTATTTGAAAAAGAGTTGTTGAATCATCTTCAAATCTCTCTCTTGCAACTTCATTTGTGTGCTCAGAACTTCGTGAGGACTTAGGCAATATATTATCCATGCATCCAAGAAGAAAAATAAGTCATAAATCTGACAACCTTTGAGGATTTAAAATTTTCATAATCAACGTGATTATAGTCTTTTACCAGTTTTTCATTTGAAAAGAAATCTGTCGCAAATCTCATGAAATCCACTTTTAGATCTGGCAAAAAATTTGTTATAAATTAAAATTAAATCCATCAGATCATGAGCTTTTGAAGCTATCATGATTATGTTTTTCTCACCTTTTTCTTTAAAAAAAGACTCTTATGGTGTGTTTGGATTGGCGGAGGACATAATTAATTCTAACATAATTGAGTTTAATAGAATTGATTTTTATAAAATTGAATTTAGTAGAATTGATTTATGTTTTGATTCATTTATGTAAAAATGAGTTGAACAATAAATTTCAATGTAAAAATCATACATAATCAATTCTGAAGTCAGAAGTTACAAATTCTAGATTCAAGTAGAATCAGTTCTAATGACATAATCAATTCTACTCTTGATAAAACAAACATTTCAAAATCACCAAGAATCAATTCTATACTTCTAGAATTGATTATGGATCTTCCAAAAGTGAATCCAAACATATTATTAGAGTATTGAAAGGGAAGTTTTTGAAGATTTAACATGTTACTCCTGGTATACATTGACACCCTCTAAAAGGTATGAAAAGACTAAATTATCTAAACCCAAAAATTTTTCAAAAATTATAAATTTTCAGTATCATGCCGTATTTTTTAAATTCATTGGACGATACAGAAAAAAAGACGATATCAAAAATTCCGTGAAATAGTAAGGAATTTACGGTGGATCTGTGTAATTTCCGGTATTTTGTACCAGAAATTTCAAAATATCTGGTATATTCTAACCGAAAATTTTGAAATTTTCGAGTTTAGTGTTTACCTTTTGTACGGAAATTTTCAGAATTTTACAATATATATCGGAAATTTCAAAATTCGGTAGTTCAATTTTTTTTTTGAAAAATACCGAAAATTTCTAAATTTCCGATAGTTCATGTTTTCCTAATTTTTTCCCTCCTTTTATTCATTGTTTCAGTGAGGACCAAGGGCAAAGATGGTTCTCCTGCGGACATGGTGGCAATAGAACTGAAACTTGAATTCAATAGCAGAGTTGCATCCGTTGTAATACACTTCTGTCTTAATCAGAAACTGAGGAAGAGATATTAAAAGAGGAAGAGATATTTTTCTCTATAACACATGCTCCTATTTATGCAAATGACGATGCATTTTAGACCAGACAAAGATGTCGGTACAATCAGAACCCTCCAAAGATATTGGCAATATTTCAATCGTTAAAAAACTTGAATAAATAAATTACCGGAAATTTTAATATAACTCAAATTTCCAGTACGGTCTAATTTAAAATTTCCAGAGTACGGAAATTTTAAATACACTATCGAAATTTTATATAAATCGAAAATTTTGCAAGAGTGTACCGGAAATTTTTCCTGAATCAAAAATTTCATAATCTTAAACGGAAATTTTATCCGAAAATTATTTGTATCTCATCAAGATAATTCTGAAATAATCAAAATTTAAAGGTGTCATGTTTAATTTCGTTATCACTGGTCTTTCTAAATTAACAGGCTTGAAATGGTTTTTTAAATAGTTATTGAAATGGTTAAGCACACCCTCTTACTCTCGCTACCCCTTCCACCCTAAAATTATTTTTGATAATACTGCAAACACCACCATTATTCCTTCTGTCACTGCATACGACAATGAGTTCTGCAAAGAGAGAACTCTACAAAAAAAAAACAACTGAAATTCTTCTAAATCAGATTCATATAATCCATCTTCTTCAACCTTTTTATCTACATGATGTAATTTCACAAAACTATGGCTATTAGCCATTGATTAAAAGGTCTTTAATTTGTAAAAGCTTTTTTTAATAAATCTAAAATGCTTAATCAAAACCCAAAATTTTAATGTGGAAGGAGTATTAAATACAAAATGACAACATTTTCTGTTTCATGAACCTCTTCCAAATGTTTCGGATGTTGTGCACATCTTAGCTGATAATGTTAGTGGTGAATTGTTCCTCTATTGAATTTCTTTGTAGTTTTTCGTTTTTTTTCAAATAACGCGGTCAATTGCTGACACACCGGTCCAACCAATACTGGTTACCCAGTGCCTTCACCAGTAATCACCAATCTGGGTTTTAAAACTATGCAGAAGATAAACTAAGGACCATAGCCTACATCATTTCTATGCAGGAACACTAGAAGCAACATTGTCCTTTGATTTCCAAGATCATAGATTTTATGTTACAGTATCAATGATGAACAACGATACAGGCAACACCAGACACATGACCTAATGGTAACACCTGTCTGTTTATTTGATGCAGTTTCATACAATTCATTAATGCATTCAATGAAAATGATAGCTTTCCTTTGAAAATTACACAGACAGCTCCCTCGCCTCTGCTCCTAATGGTTTAAAGACAGCTTCAACTTCACTTTTATCAACTTCCTCCAAACTCGAGGGTTTCCATTTTGGGTTCTGCAGTGAATATTTGCTCAATTCATTATTCAAGCAAGCAACATTGTATACAATATTGAAGGAAAAGTATTATACCAAAAAAATTGAAAGAAAATAACTACGGTCTATGGGTTAGAGGATTTAAGAGAGAGAGAGAACCTGATCTTTATCGACCAATACTGCTCGAACACCTTCTGCAAAATCATGTCGCAGTGAAGACCTCAAGGCAATGCGATACTCAGTTTTCATTACGCCAATAAGCTGGAATTTCCCAAATACAGATAAAATACTCAATGAGTTCATTTTTTAAGTCACATAAATTACAGCCACCCCCAGAAAAAGAAAAGAAAAAGAAAGTGCCCACCGTGGATAATTCACCGTTGCCTTTTCCTACTGCAGAGGCAACTGCAGAGAAGTACTTATTGGTCAAAAAAAGGGAGAAGGGAGCACCTTTTCCAAGGCCTTGGAGAGCTTCATTAGCCCACTCAGAAACTACAAATGGGAAAATGTAGAATATTAAGCACTTGATGAGTATTTCACTGTAATTACAAACGATATGGTTTAACATACACAACAATGACCGTATCCAAACATTTATGTGTAACCAAATAATCTGATGATAAACATACCATTGGAGTCAGTGCTTGACTGGTGTTGTTTTAGATCCTTAATAATCTCAGTAACAGACTTATTTCTTCCAAATGAAGAAATTATCTGAGGTAAAAGCAACTTCAACTGTGCCTCAGAATCCGGGTTTGACTCATACCTTGCTAAAAGTACTTTGATGTCCTGATGGGGATCCTGAGAACTATATAACCAATGAGTTTTGAGTAAGTTCATAGCATTTTTAACAACTGGTATGTATACACTCCTTGTAATTATATTCTTCTGAACAAAGTACATTGACGTAAATTATTTCTAGAAAAAAAAGAGAAGAAAAAGACCATGAGTGCATACAGCAAATGGCTTTTCTTATATGCACACAATCATACCAGTGCATTATTAAAATTTCAAAAGGGTCTAATTCAATCAAAACTGATGGAATTTAAATGGGTGATAATCTAAAGAAAAAGGCTCAAGAGCCATTTAAAGGTTCAAGCTGACATACAAGTGTGTTGCCAAAAGGGCCTCCTTGAATGAACCTAACTTTCCCGAAGGCACGTAATGTGTTCCAAGGCCAACATATATTGCATCAGATGGAGTAGAAATCCTCTTTCCAGTCAATCCAAGATAAGCACCTGTAGTCAGTAAAAATAGTCAAACCGAATTCAAAGATTCCACAGAAAGCAAGGGGAAGTACTTTTTTTTTTTTTAATTATGAAAAGTAATAAGCTGTTAATGAAAACAGGAGACCACATTTAGATGTATCAATAGTGCACAAAAAGGACAAATAGAAAGGTCAGTAATTCAATAACCCTCTGTCCTTATTAACTCGTCTAATAAACAAGAATGAAAGTGCTAAATCAAAAATATAAAAAATTACCAACAGCTCCGTCTCCTGGACTTTGAGCTGCTATATGAGCAAACCCTACATCTGGGAACAAGCCAATTCCATTTTCTGGCATGGCAAGAACAGTTCTCTGGAAATGTGTTACGCAAAAGATAAAATTCACAAACAAGATCTAGAACAGCAATTATTATGAATATACAAAATATATAATTAAATGAAGCAACTATATAACAAGATGAGCATACCTCTGTAACGATACGATAGCGACCATGACCAGATAAGCCAATTCCAAAACCCATTGTTATTCCATCCATGAAACTAATATATGGTTTCTTGTACTCAGAAATTTTGCATATCAAAGAATACTCAGCTGTGAAGACCTAAAACATGCAGCATTATAGCTATATATTATTTTTACGCTCCACATTAAAAACTCGAATGCAAGATGCAGCAGAACGTGTAATCCTACAAAGTGCTGACAAAACTGGCAACAAACAAAACGTAAATTACCAACAAAATAAACTGTCCAAATCAACAAAATTAAAAGTGATTCTAAATCTAATAGGCCCTCAAGAATCTATCATAGGTACACAACTGGAAGAACATCTAAACGAAACTAAATGCCTCTAGAAGACAGAAAGGATGTAATTAAAGGGTAATCCTTTAATAATAGAAGCTGATGCCTTTCAACAGATAAGGCATTATACGAACCGCAACTGGAAGAACCTTCTAACCTGGGTCAAACCAAAACCCGGGCAAGGATTAGTCCCACACCTTTGGGTGTGGAGATAACTTTTGATATACCAATAACTTTTGGTATGCCACACCTCATTCATACATACTCCCTCCGGCCATTATTATAAGCAAATATTCTCTTTTTAGGTTCATTGAGTAATGAATGTATATGGTCTACATAAAAGACCAGATACATTCATTATTCAATGAACTTAAAAAGAGAATATTTGCTTATAATAATGGCCAGAGGGAGTACTTAATACATTTTATGTTTGATCTACTCGAACATGAAACTTCCTCATTAACTGTTTATTAACAATTATTTTAAAATATTGAAAACTTTAACTTTTTAAAAGCCATTGGTGCAGACTATGGAGCTAAGTTTGTCATGAATAGTACGGTCTACCAAATTAATGTGTGACTAAATCAGTTTAGAAATGCTAACAATTTCTACACGAAAGGAATTGATTTTGAATTGACATTATTTTAATAAAATGAAATTTTAAGAATCTGATGGCATATTATTGCAAAGGACACAACTAAACCTCAATCATATCTGATAGGTGGTTTTTGATTGATATCTGCTTCACATCACCGCCTGCAGATAAACTAAGACCTCGATTACCAAGCAAGCGGTCATTGAGAACAGATAAAAAATTATTTGACAAAACAGAAACTATAAGAAAAAGTTGTATAGCATCAAAAGATGATGATAATGACAAAAAAGCAAACCATATATCCAATGAAGCACATAGAAAATGCAACTTTTTTTTGCTCTTACATACAAAATGCAACTGGATATGCATGTATTAACAAATAATATATATAGAAACCTTCTGTACTAAAGGTGTGCTTTTGTCCTTCTGTATTTCAGCAACAACCCCTTTAATATCCATACCTGCATTGACCATTAATCACGACTCTCAAAACCTTACCTGGCACTCAAAAACCAAATAACCTTATATATCTATATCAGAACATCTGCCAAAGAGACTAATATTTTTAATGTATTTGAGCAAGAAACATACTTCAATAAAACATTGCACCAATGAAGCACGGATCCTCTAAAATTTATGCCATATCGTATTCAATACGTACCGATACGCCGCCGATACGTATCAAAGGAGTATCCGAATTTTTTATTTGAAAAATAAAAAAAAAAAATTCTGATACGTCCGACGGCGACACGTCGCGATACGCTAGTGACACGTCTCCGATACGATGTGGATACAGCTAGTTGATCTCATGACTATTCATATTTCTAGAACATGAATCAATCTTCCTCATCCTTAATTTTGTTTTTCTCAACTTTAATTACCTCATCACTTTAGCTATTACAAGAATCAACCTTTTCCTTTAATTACTTTCTCGCAACTTTAGCTATCTTTTCTTTTTCTCATAATTCCTTTACCGATTACTATCAAATTTTGCAAACTCAATTGGTTTTTGTTAGAGAATGATTTAACATATTTTATACACGTATCTTAAACGTATCATATCCTAGATTTTTCAATGACTAACATATCTCCGTCTTGAATGTGTATCGTATCCGATACCCGTATCATGTCCGTGCTTCATCACAAAAAGAATAATAAACTGTGCATTTTCTTCTCTAATAAGCCTCATTCATTCATACCGGCACAAAATGCGCGAGTGGAGCTGCTATCAATCAAAACACATTTGACATTTGGATCTGATTCCCATTCATCAAGATAACTTTTATACTTTACATCCATATCTGCATCACACAAAATTCCAAATCAAAATCAAAATCAAGCTATAATATTACCACACTCACACATTATGAAATGAAATCTCTTCTTTTTTGAATCCTACACAACAATTAACTCAAAATGATAAGAATTATCATTCCATTTGAATATGAAACAAAATCAAAATAACCTAAATTTTGCATTTTAATTCCTTATTACAATAATCACAAATAGTAATTTTCAAGTAAGCCAAAAGCTCCATGATAATTGCTTATCGTAATATAATACGCGTGAGTTCAAGAATTCAACAAATTGAATGAATGAATGAACGAAAATTCAAAAACCTAGGTTCATGGCGTTGAGAGCTTTGGGGCGATCGAGGGTGAGAACGGCGACGCCGTTAGAATTGACGGTTCCTTTGACGAATTCTTCAGCCATGGATGAAATGGGTCGGAGAGAGAAGGAAGGTTTGAAGCGAGAATGTGAAAATGAACAGAGAAGACGATTTGCTCCGACAGTGCGAAGTAGCATAACTTTCTCTGAAAGCTACGATGTGGTTGCTCCTACTTTTGGTTGTTTTGGTTGTTGACATAATTTATGGTGCTGTGACGGTTTAACCCTCGTTTTTCTTGCTATTTATGAGGCTCCATGTTTCTTGCTTTCTTTTCTTAAGGGTAGATTAGTCATAAAACTTTAGAGTATCCAATATATAATGTATTAAAATCGAGAATGTCATTATGAAGCCTCGGAGGGCAAGAGAAACTAAAAGCCCACAAGATGGAGAATGTCATTAATGAAGCCCTAAAGGGCGAGAGAAACTAAAAGCCCATACATAAGGTCATAGGTAATACTTACATAAAATCCCCTAAGGGCACCTCCTCTGCATGGATAAGTTAGTCATTTCTGATCACCTTGAGTAAGTCCATCTAACTCAATTTCAGTTCGGGGAAGAGAAATTATATATGCTTCTTTTTCCGTTTAAATTATTGGTGTGAAGTATCCACTAAGTCATCTTTAAGGGTGGTCAATTCTTCATACAACTTCTTAGAATGAAAGACAACCTCAAGAGACTCCTTCAGACTTTTCTCTAACAGGGGCGAGCATTTTGGCCTCAGATGCCACATTTTTAAGGCATGTTTAAGAGTTGCCTTCAACTGCTTTAGCTCATCCCACTTTTTAACCAATTTTTCACTATCACTTGCCTTTAGGCAAGAGATTCTTTTGCGGAAGCACTTGCTCCGTCAGCATGCCCCCAAGTATATGGCTCTACACCATGTTAGATATTTTCTTAGTGGAAGGGTAGTCTAGTGCTGAAATATTTCCTTGCATCAAACATCGCACCATTCCATAACAGGGAGTGTTGGGGTGGTTTGTTTCGAATTGGTAAAGTTGTTTGTTGTCCGCCCTCTTCATCCCCTTCAATATCTATGGTGATCATCGGTACTAAGGAGGAACTCTCACCATGATTTTCTAGCTTAAGGACTTTGGAATGGAGAGTTTAAACGATGCTCCCTTCGAATCCCATCTTGCCCTCTCCAATGATGATGACACTTGAATGATTTTTTGGACTATCATTCCATTGCTCTTTATGGTCCAACTTCTTCCTAGTTGGGCGAGTTTTCCTCTCAACGATTGGGATGGATGACATATTTTCTGAAAAGTTAAAAAAGGAATTTATATATATTCATGCGAGTAAATAATCCTTAAAATTTGGGAATGACTACAGTCACAAACTCACGCAAGTATTCATCGATTCTCTCATCTAATTCAATCATTTTTTGAGAGCTTATAACTTTAAACTCATCCAGGAAATGATTTGCCCCCTCTCAGTAGAGTTAAGATAATCAAAATTGAATGTGGTGATCGTCATTGGGCCTTTTGTCCAAGACCATCTAGAAAATGATCTACCCCCTCTCAATAGGGTTAAGATAATCGAAATTGAATTCAGTGATCGTCATTGTGCCTTTCGTCCAAGACAAAGGAAAGAAAGGATATCCATTTTTCCAATTATTATCATGGAGGAGACATCTCGTCCCTTACTCTAACAAATATATTATTCCAATTCTTGTAGTGGTTGGAATGGGGATTGAATAATGTTCTCACAGATATGGTGCACAAAGTCACACACCCTACTTTTGCTCTAATATTAGTGCCATAGAAGGAAAAGAGTATCATTATGGTAGAGTTGACATCTAATCTCCAACACATCATCTTGAAGGCCATAATAAATACCTAGTTGTTTGAGGAGATCTTGTAGAGAGCAACATTTGTGGTCACTAAAACCTTCACTTTGAACAATGTAAAGAGAACCATAACCCCTAAATCTTGAACGATGAGAAGATGCATATAAAATAAAGGATTGAGAGAGTCAGACAGGGTGACCATGTTGACTCGCTCCCCCTCAAAACATATATATAGGGTAATGTCATCCTCGTAACCAGAGTCAGAGAGGCTGATATATCGCCAAAAGGAGTCCACCTTCTCCTCACAAGTATAAATGGTCCTTAAGTCCTTGACGCTTGTGTACTTAGGATTGTTGGTTGTAATTAGTTGCTTAAGATTTTCTAGGAAATAAAAGGAATAAAAAGAGTCATTATCACTCTTAAAACTAGTAGTGCTCTCGTAACTTCTAAACACGCATATTTTTAAAATCTCGTAATCGAGTAAACTATATGCCCGTTTTGTGCTCTTCATGCAACACTAATAAAATTATTACCATTATCTAATATTCAAAGGCTTTATCACCTTACTGTTATCATCTAAATCCCTAATGATTGACATTAAAGAAGAAAAGGAGAGAAGAAGAGAAAAAGCCTATACTCGTAGACAAAGGAATAAGAGTTGAACTTGGTGAAGTATGGAAGCGAGTTTGCTCTTAGCTAGATGAAGATTAAAATGAAATTTTGGAGGAGAAAGTATCTGAAAAGTGAAAGAGTGGAAGTTAAATCCCTCTTTATAAGGATTTGAAAGTTAAGCCTAGTAAGTAATGAGTAACCTCTCACTAGGTACAATAATTGTTGCTGAAAGATTCCAATGTCTCTGAAACATGCAAGGAACCTAAGTTGATTTAGCTTATCGAGACAAATCCACCATTAGCTACATTTAGTTTTGCATATGTGTTTGTCTTTGACGCTTGAGAGACTCGCTTCAAGCCCTACTTGAGGGACCCGCCCAAACTCTACTTGAGGGATTCTATGTAAGCTTTGCTTAAGGTACTCGCCTCAGGGATGACCTAAAAAGCTCTTTGGGAGTTATCAAAAATGTGAAGATTAGAAACTATCAATTTAAATCAATTCGTTATTTACAAGTCCTCGTGCTTGAGGGATTGTGTATTATTGTAATTGTATTGGGCCCTAAGAAGGAACAATCCATGTAATAAAGGAAAAATAAATAATTTATTATTGGTAGATAATTCGATACAAGTATCAAATTTTAATAAAATTATGGGTTAAATATGTTTCTGGTCCCTATAAATTATCAAAATTTGTTTTTGGTCCCTATAAAAAAAACATGACATATTTTAGTCCCTACAAAATTATTGTGCATGTAGTTTTAGTCCTTGCTATTAAACTGATGTGTATTTTTTAATGAATACTTTGCATACATATTTAGAACGTTATAAAAAGTTCCTTGAAAAAAAAGGAACTCAAAATTTGATTTCTAAGTCGAGGTTTTCATTACTTTCATCAATATCTTTTAAAATTTAAAAAATTCATATTTAAATTCATCTCATTTTAAAAAATTAGAAAATTTGGTAAATAAAATTTTTATAGTATTTTAAATAGGTATGAAAAAAATTATTCAAAAATTTAAAATTTTAAGGGTAATTAAACAATTTTCAAAATTTTAGAAAATAAAAGGGGTTAAAACTGCATGAATAAAAATTTTGTAAGGACCAAAATATGTCATTTTTTAATAGAAACTAAAAATAAAATTTAAAATATTTATAAGGATCAAATATATATTTAACCCTAAAATCATTGATTAGAACTTACACCAACATATTTTTAGTCCATATTTGCGCACATATTCGAGACATGACATATGTATTACTATCTCATGGTGTTGTAGAGCATAGTATTGAAGTTCATGGTGTAGTTTAGAATATTTTAATGGAATCTAAGAGTGTCTTGTGACAAAAGAGGTTTAAGAGACATAAAAGTAGTTCATGTGCTACATAACTAGATGCATTTTGTTTAGGATTCATTGGCATTATACATTTGTACATGACATGTTTATTATGTATTCGAATTATAATATTATTTTTTAATATTATTGATTGCACCTAATCAGAAGAGATCATCGATGGCCCAAAAGTTGGAATTAGATGGTTGTTAAAGTGAAGTGGGAGGGGGGGGGTACTTGCAAGACACTCTGCTGTCAAAGTAAGGTTCATAGTAAGTGCAAGTAATGAAAGTGTGTAGAATGAATGAATATTTGACCCTCTCATGTGAGAGGGTATTTATAGCCCTCAATGTTGGACCAAGATTCACGCATTGGGCCAAGCAATTAGGCCTAATAGCGAATACTTCCAGGGTTATGTGAGTTGTGGAATCTAGCATGTTGCCTCCTTCCTGGTCAACTGCCCTGAGATGATAGGGAAGTTGGACCTGTTATTCTTGGGGGGAAAGATGGTGGTTTAAGATAGTCGTTGACCACGTTTCCCTCGTGAGCATGTGAGGACATCTCCAATGGTTAATGACTTGGGTTGGATGCTATTGTGCCATAGTAAAGGTGTTGGATTGGGTCTGCCCAACGATGGGCCAAATGTCAGCTCAGTCTAGAACATGAGCCCCCCAAGTTATTGCTCTTGGGAAAAAGAGTGATGACTTAGGATTAGCTTAAATGTCGAGGAAAGTTTGCCCCATAAGGGAATTAACTTTTGTCCTCGATGTTCGGGTTTAAACCAACGTAAAGTCGTATTTCGGTCGGGGATGATATGGTCGGAGGGTTATCAAGCTCCTTGTCGACTCTTCATGTGCGGTGTGGGAATGTGTGTGGGAGGACCTTTCTCTGTTGATTTGTTGACTTCCCGCCTTCCTGCGGTTTCTCGCTTGGGACTTCGCGTTCGTAGGGAAAACACATAAATTTTCCTGAACTTGTCTCCTCGAAGTGCCCGTAAGAAAAAGTGCCGCAACAATGTCGAGCATGTGTTCGATAATGAAGACTTTAAAATAGCGTCAGCACATGGTTTTACGCGTGAGATTTTGATGCCAGCAGTACATCACTATGCGTGTCACACGTGGTGGCTATTTGGAGCGCCATTATTGCTTAGGGAAGCCTAGGGGTCTAAGCAATAATGATTCCTTGCACTCTACCCCGTATGGTGGGGCTGGCTATAAAAGGTGGTGAAGAATTCCACTTAAGTATTTTCACTTGCTCTCCTCTTGCTTCTCCTCCGATCGCAAGCTACTCTACTGCCGCCATCGCCATCGTAGATTTTTCTAGCGTTCAACTTTCTCCAAGTAAGTGATTTCATTTGAATATGTTAATTTACTTTAGGGCTTTAGATGAATGAATGAAGTTTCCTG